GTGTGTGTGTGTGTGTGTGTGTGTGTGTGTGTGTGTGAAATGCTGGTGATGAATTGGAGGGTCATGCTGTTATGATTATCTATGGACAAAGGCTGTTGGCCTACTTTGAAAGACTCGACAGTGTTTTCTTGGTATTTCTTGAGCGGTTGATTTAAGAGATTTCTTTTCTGAATTGATAATAGTCAGAGTTTATCTGCAGACGCTCTGTCTCTGACTATTATTAATTCAGAAAAGAAATCTCTTAAATCAACCACTCATACACTTCTTCTCAATGGTGGACATAAATGTACTCAAATACTATACATTGGTGCACATTAGAGGTACGTGTACTTCACATTTGTATTTGCATTTATGCGACTTCCTCCCTCCACCGCTCGGCTAGATCTCAGATGGAGATATTACATGTTTTACTACGTTTGTACAACTTTATTCTAAAGGTTACGTTTCAGATGACGGTGGAAACCGCGTGTGTCCAGATGTGTTGATGTTGAGGGTTTGTGATTAACTGAAGATTGAAGTTTTTTTCTCACAGACATGTGATGATCTTTTAAAATGTGATGCATTGCTTTAGATTAAACTGCAACAACAGGAGATAAAGTTCAGAGCTCAATCTCAAGCATCTACAGCAGTGATGCAACACACACATGCTGCAGTCTTTACAAAAATATCAGATAGAATAGGAATTATTTTTCTGCACTTGAGTGATTTTACTTTTCAGTACAGTGGAAACTAGGTCCATTAAGTGGCTGTTCTGGAGCTTTCAATCATTAAATTCCTTCGGTTGTGGGCAGCTTGTCTTCGTATCTGTGTCCATTTATGGACAAATCCCAGAGTCCTATCGTCTTGTGTTCACAGCCCAGCTACGTAAACCTTTAATAAACGAGGTGTTTGGACTCAAAATAAAGATTGAACTTGTTGATTCAAGAACTAAAACTTTAGAGGTCATTCTTACTTTGTGACGGCAAATCAAAGTGTTAAGGTAATGGCTCTTTTGTGCAGCCGGCTAATGCTGTGTGACATGAGTGACTTCCTCCATCAAAAGGTTTTATTTATCTGGACACCAAGTACATTTGTTAGTGTGAGACGGACTGAGGACATGTATGTGTTCACATTTTCACCCTTGTTTTGTTTTTTTGGTGTGATTGTGATCCCCCATTCTTTAATCCAACAACTAAATATATTTAGTCAAGTTAATGCTGTATTTTAAAGGTAAAGTTCACAGGACATTATTTTATGCTACTTTATATTTCTACTCTACAACACTGCGGAGGAAAATTCCATATTTTTAACTCAGGTCCGGTCGTCGGCTCATCACAGGGACAGAAACAAACAACCCATCACTCTCTCATCACACCAGGCTGCATGTCTGTAGACTGTGTGAGAAGAACTGTGCTGTGTGTGACTGTGAGACACGAATTGTTCTGGGAATCGATTCTGGGACTTTCTTCCTGTGAGGCGACAGCTCCAACCACTGCACCACGCGCCGCCCCAATTCAATCCAATAATTCACAAAAGAGACAAGAGAAGATCAGATGGAATAAATATCCAGAGATGAATAAAGATTTGTTTTCTTCTTCTGTCCCATTATTCATCACTGTGACCCCTCGACTCATCTTGTGATCCTCTGTAGTTGCCTGACCCTTAGGTTGGGAACCATCAGGGCTAAATTAACTGTATTGTACTCATGTTGCCCTTCTTCTCAACACATGAACGTAGCGATGCCTGAGGGGCCGGAGGAGCCTGACCTGACTCTCACGGAGGCAGTTTGAACTGTGAGACTCATCATTAGCACCATCTCATTGAACATGTGCACACAAAATCAATATGTTTTCCTACTTCACAGTTTGTTCACTTGTAATTCTCATGTTTCTGTCGTCATTGTGATCATTTCAGTTTCAGTAAAAACTGTTTAATGGCTAAGAATTAATTGATTTATCAATAAAGTTTGCATATTATAAATGACACCACATACAAAACTACACGACACTTTAATGATACATTGCTAAACCCAAACAATGTGTTGCTGTTCAAATGTTTCTCTTTACATGGCAAATAACTAACACTGAAAGACCCTTTATATTTATTTTTAGAAAAGAAGAATGAAAGCGTGAGTGAACTCAAT